ATAAAATATAAAAATATCGTTAATTTACCGAAAATTATTATAAAATATAAAACTATCGTTTATTTATCGAAAATAATAAAAAATAAAAATATTGTTTATTTACCGAAAATAATAAAATATAAAACTATTTTTTATTTATCGAAAATAATAAAATATAAAACTATCTTTTATTTACCGAAAACAATTTTGTTTTGAAATGTGAAAAGTTTTTCCAACTAAAAAATACTATAACGTCAACTAAAAAAGAGCTTCACCGTATACGGTGACGGGGGGGGTGGTCCCCGGAGAAGCATGCCCGTCTCCAGCATACGGTGCCATGGAGACGAACGTGTTAAAAATACAATCCGATGAAATTAACAAGTACCCGCGCAGATATAATTAAATCTTATCTATAGATTCATACAAAAAAAAAAAAAAAATGGAAAGAAACGTCTTAATTACGGACTAACGAAGGGGTTACTTTACATATAGTATTAGACGCCTAAAAGTAATAATAATCATTCGCTCAAGACACCATTATTCTAATATTTAATCTAGATAATAAATAAAGAAATAAAACAATTTCAATTCTATTTGAAAACAATCTAATCCAATAATTGCCTTTTAGCCTTTTTAACACGTTGATGCCTCTAAGAAAAGAAAATATCAAATCGAGACAATCATCCAAAGAGTGATTAAGGGACCATCTCAGTGTAAAATTTCAAAAAAAATCGATTTTTTTTCTGGTCTCATCTTGAAGTACATATTGTTGTGCGTGTTCTGTAAAATTTTCAAATTTCAATTCGAATTATTACAGTCGCTACAACCTTTTTTGGAAAAAGAGATTGGAGCGTAAATTGACGCGCGCTAAACTTTAAACGCGTTTTTCTCAAAATGCCCTTTTTACAAACGGTGTCACCTCTCACAGGGAGAATTTTCGAGCTATCGACTTGAAATTTTTACGGAATTTTTTTTTACTTTATTCTTTATGTCCCTATGGAAGATTTTTTTTTAATTCTTCCTATTTTTTCACTCGAAAAACTGTTGAAGAAACAGGGGCTAAATTTCGTACTTTTTCTTCAAACCGTCGCCATTTTGTCAAATTTCAAAAAAAAAACCTCCATAGCGGTTTCCCTACAGATTAATAATCAATTTGATTTTTTTCTTTGAGATGCAAACTACGATCACAATCGTTGACACCGATTGCCCCCATTTTTGTTACTCACTTTTTCAAATTAATTATTAACAATAAGTAAAAATCAATAAAAACGAATGAACAAAATATTTTTGTATTGTTAAAGAGTGGTCTTATTCGGGAAAAAAAAACATCCCGATCACCTCCTTCTATCCATCAGAAAAAAAATCACGAAAATTGACATTTTTTTGGGCCGGTTGCACTGAGATGGTCCCTTAAGGGGACACGTCACCTTCGAGTGTAAAAAAAAAGCGGTTTGTTTGTGAATTTTTTTTGCAGCCAGTTTTATTAATATCAATACAAATTTTTGGTATGTGTAAGTTATATATCTGAACTATATTCACAATTTTTTGTGTGTAAAAATATTGTAAATTGTGTTGTCTGTGGCCACTTTTCTAAGAATCCAAAAAAAAAAGGTGATTTTCGGTGGCCCTCACTGGCAAAAATTGGTTCATCATAAACAAAAAAACCGAGTGTTATCCTTTAGTAGAGATGTTGGCGCAGGGAATGAACAAAAGGAAATTTTGATTTTTTAATTTTTCTCAAAATAGTCGACTTTTTGCGAAAAAAAATTGACATTTTTGCAGAAAAATCGCCGAGTTTTGGAGAAAAAAAAATTGGGATTTTTTCGAAAAATCCTTTCGTTCATTCCCTAGATACGTGTATCTAGTATTACTGTACAAAATTTGGTAAGGATCGGATAAATGGTCTGGACACAGCGAGGGCAACCGTTTTAAAAACGCGAATAAGAGAAATGAACGTTTAAAGTTTTGGTAACTTACTTGGAGCGCTACAGTTTCGTAAATAATGCGCGGATCTTTACCAAAATTTGAAGAAATATTTTTGAAATAATATTCTTTCAGAAAATCGAAAAAAAAAAGATCGATTTTTTTGTTGACGTGTCCCCTTAAGTCTTTTATCCTTGAAAGATTATTAAAACGATAGAAAATTTATTTTTCATATAACCGTTGTTTGATTTGCAAATGACAAAAAAAAGTAATAATAATAATAATAAAAAAAGACAAAAAAAAAAAAAGAAACAAATTGTAAAATAAAGCTTATTATTCGATACAGGGGGCCAACGATCCTATACACGATGTTATTAATTAAATAAGAAATATAATTGTCGATGCGGAATGCTGTCACAATCGTTTGGTAGCCGTCTCGCGAATATGGAAAATCGATCAATACTTTATTATTAAAATACCAACATGAAATACCTTACTTTTATATTTAAAAAAAAAAAAGAAAGAAAAAACAGTAATACGAACATCGTAGATACAATTATTATCGATTTACACTTACATTTTCCGGTTTGTCGCAAATAATGTCAAGAAGAACTTATAAATCAATCCGAAATCGATGATTGTTCCATTTGAAAAATAACGTAGAAAATGGGCGTGTAACATTTTATTATATCTGTGTAAAATCATTCGTATGTATGCGTGTTATGTATGCGTGTACGTATGTATGTGAGTATGAAGGAGAATACAACGAATCCGCATCTTAGTGGAAAATACTTAGCAATATTAAATTCTTATCATTTAAGTTAAAAACATGTTAAAGTGCAATCGTGTGTGCATAAGATGTACACATCAATTTGTCAGTAGTCCAATGGATTATTTCTTAGGAATTGAAAACAACGTACACGTTGCATTTAATAATATTATATAAAAAAAAAATATATATATATATACGGTTATAAACAAAAGAAAATATTTAGGTGTTCCCATTTGTATGGTCCACCCTATATCTATATATATCACATAGAGAGACATTTAACTAAGGACCAAAGTTAACAAAAAGTGTTATTTATATCCAAATGCATGGGATTCAATTTGAGAATTGATATATTCCATTATGAATACACATGCCTAGGTCATCTTCGATTATTTTTGTAATCCTACTTGAAGAAATGAATAAAACCATTTAACATGAATATACATGAGTATATATATATATATATATATAAGTGAATCCAATCAAAATATATTACCTTTGATCATCATTTTATAATTAATGTTATTTTTAAAATAACCTCGTATCGTAAAAAAAAATTTTATGTTTTGTCCAATTACTGCATATCTACGTTTCAAAAGAAACGTTCGAGTTAGTATCGTATGCTTGTAATCAGTGAATGTTGAAACTCTAAAGTTAGAGATACAAACAGATACCAGGGGTGACCAACTTTATTCTACATGCGATCGATTTTTTCTTTTTAAAAAGTATGTTTCGATTTATCTACAAACATTATGCCATTTAACACATTCAAACATGTGTCTTGTGTACTAATAGATGACAATTAAGTAAGGTGTATTAAACCAACATGATCTCTTATTAATATTTAATAAAATATAAATTCCATTTTATTTTCTTATAATATTCTTAATGAGAAAAGTTTACGTCTGCATGTCTCCAGCCAAGCATTTATAATTTGATGTGTATCCAAAAAAAAGATACTAATGATGAATTTTCAATATGACAATGAATAAATAAGGATTATGAATATTCCATATATATCATACTCACACAATCAGTCTGATACCCACGTCTTTAAGTCAACGGATTACGTTATACCGCTATCTGTTATAATCTTATCGAACTAACAGAGATATAAACTATCCTATCTTTCAAGTTGGATGAAATTGCATACAATGTGCAAAATTTGATTAAAATCGGTTCAGTAGTTTAGGAATCCATTGCGGACAAACAACGTGACACGTAATTTATATATATTACTATAACCCGCCACGCGTTGCTGCAGCTCACAATCAGTCCGATATACACGTGTTTAAGTCAACGAATTACGTTATACCGCCATCTGTTAGAATCTTATCGAACTAACAGAGATAATCATGACTCTTTGTTAATAAACAAATAATATTTGATTATAAATAGAGATATAAACTATCCTATCTTTCAAGTTGGATGAAACTGTACACAGTGTGTAAAATTTGATTAAAATCGGTTCAGTAGTTTAGAAGTACATTGCGGACAAACAACGTGACACGTAATTTATATATATTAACATATATAAAAAAAGGAATATATTGGGATATTTTTACCGATTGACACATATTTCCAAAAAATTTTCTTAAGTTTGAGAGATTAAATTATTAAATGAAAAAAAATCAAAAAAATATAGATTAAACAAAGGTTTATAAAATTAAATCATTTTACAAAGTTATAATTTCATTTTCTAACCGGTTTTCATCAATAATAAATATGTTAGAAATCATTTCCTGTCGGCTATGATCATCTTCAGTTAATCGTGATAAACGGGTTGCCACTTCTCTTATATACTATGTTCCCCTCTCTCACAACTTACACACAGAACGACTTTATCAGCCAGCAGAAAAAGCTGAAGAAATCAGTGAAGCAACAACCGTCACTGGCAATTGACTCATTCGTATCGTCAACAACACATCGTTTAAAATTCTACTTTCTCGTTAATTTAGTGATTATACGAGTTGATCATTTTTCCAACAAGATGTCAACTACTAGCAGTAAGTATTTTTTTCAGACAGTTTATATAAAGTTACATTTAAAAGTTACTGTTACGAGAAAAGCGAAAGTGTCGAGTTACGTAACATAAGATATCTTTACAACCTATACTATATTTGAATAAATATCTTCCATATTCCATGTCGTTATATATTTACAAAAATATTTTTATTTTAATTACATAATATAGGATAACTTAATTTTCTATTATGCATATTAGAAAAGGTAATATTAGAAATTGAACTTTCGAATTATTAAAAATAATTGAGGCATTCCACGCCAAATTGGACGGTTTTAAAAATTGTTATTTTTGATTTCCGCCATTTGTTGATATCTTTTAGTACCCATCGAAAAACCCTTCCTCCTAAATTTTGCCATTTTTTTGATCATTCGTTCTAAAGATATCGAATTTTCAAAAAAGACTTTTCTTATTTTTGTTAATTATTAATCTTAATCAGTAATTGAGAATTTTCCTACGCTTGTTATAATAAAAAACAAAATATGTAAAGTGTTTCAAAATACATTAAAAGAGAGAAATAAATGACAAAATTTAATAAAATGAATAAAAAAACTCGAAAAAAAAATAATAGTTATCGAAGGCCCACGGTCAGACCGTCCTAAAAAGTTGTGAAATTAGTATTAGTTTGCTGTAAAAAATTTGGAAGAAAATCAAAATGTGCACTCACTTTAAAAAATGCAATTTAAAGTTTAAAAATCGAAAATTACGTATTAAGACACTTGAAATAATTTTTTTGAATTTTTTTTTTCAAAAAGTACATTGCAAAACAAAACTTTTATGTAGAATAGTAATTTTCATCTTAATGAGTTTTAAAAAAGTTACGGACTAAAAACCACAGAAAGAGCTGTTTTTTTTTTTTTTTTGAAAATTCAATATCTTCGATCAAAAAAATGCCAAAATTTAGGAGGAAGGATTTTTCGATGGGTACTAAAAGATATCAACAAATGGCGGAAAATAAAAATGTTTAACCTTTTAGGCACAGCTGGTTTCTCTATACGGCAGGGTTCAACGAGAATTAGGTGTAAACGGGTACAACTACAATGTGTGACGATGAACAATGTTGTTCTCTACGCGAGTACATTGGAATTTAGTTTTTGATGATTAAATTATAATTGTTTTTAAAGAAATGATACACACATACCTTAACTTTGACTACTTACATTAATAATGAAAAATAAAATTAGGTATAATATATTTGAAAAGAGGTTATCTGCGAAAGCCACTATAGAGGCGCATCGTACTGCAATATGGCAACCGCAAAAGCCACTGTATTTGCGCGTCGTACTGGAAGATGACATTCGTGAAAGCTACTTTAATGGCGTGTAGTGCCTAAAAGGCACCGTCCGATTTGGCGCGGAATGCCCCAATTACTCATTTATTTTCTTTTCCTTTTTGCATGTAGACTTATTCTTCTACATACGTATATCCATATTTATAAAAAAAAACAATTTATTATTTATCCAGGACAGACTATAATATTAGTGTTGAAATATTTTAGATTGTAGCACTTGTCACCCGGGCTATTCTAGCCCTAAAACAGCAATGGCGGAAGGACCGCGTGAAAAAATTATGTACACTGTTTGCATACATACTGATCCCAAAAAACCTGATGTCCTTTCAACAGTAGATATTGATCCTGAAAGTCCTACGTATTGTAAAGTAAGTTTTACTTTACAATTTTCATTCCACAAAGTATGAAAAATATATTTACAGGTATTACACTTTATTAATATTTTTTTTAGATAATTCACAAATTGAGAATGTTACACGTAGGAGATGAACTTCATCATTCCGGTTGGAACATATGTAGCAGTTGTTACGATTTACCACGTAAACGAGATGTTATGGTACTACCATGTCTTATGTCGGATAGAGTATATTTTATTGATACTAGTAACGAAAGAGAACCGAAAATAAAAAAGGTATGTGTGGACAAAAAAATAGCAAAAAACACATATTACGTAGGTTGGAACTTAAATAGTGGCAACTATTTATTCACAACCGATACAAAAGAGTTACATGTTTGCTTCTGTTACTGTCCTTTAAAGTAGTCAGCGAAGCCAGTTCTGTTGATGGTGCGAATGGAGCGGTCTACTGCCTGTCGAATCTCTGGAACAGTTCTGAAGCAAATGCTACGATGGGTTCCACATGAATTGACGGAAATGCAGAAATGGATGCATTACGAAGCTGCTCAAATGCACTTGGAGCGCTATGAGCGCGAATGAGTGGCTTTCTTACGCCGTATTGTAACACTGAATGAGACATGGTAGGAACCCTATAGGAGGGACGCGCCATGTACATTGCTAGGCTGAAAATGTGGGGGGACAGCTTCCGTTGCATCGCACAGCAATGTTTATCTTTAGTATGTATTAACGGCTGTGGTTAGTTGAATCATTCGCGCGCAATCACGTGACTACACGAGTTCCTGTCCCCCAGCAATGTACATGGCGCGTCCCACCTATAGGGTCCCTAAGACATGGCAGTAGACCGCTTCATTCGCACCATCAACAGAACAGGCTCAGCTAACGGGTTCTACACAACGCTGGTGACTACTTTGAAGGACAGTAACAGGTGCAAACATGTAACTCTTTTGTATCGGTTGTGAATAAATAGTTGACATTA